GTCTGAAAATGCAGGCATGGATAATTCAGTATGCGCCTCATTAGAGTCGATATCTCGATGTTGATTTAGATTTGAAATTTGTTTCAAATGTATTTTATTGTTTTCATGTGTGTTTAGTATCCCTATACGGATCACCCCTCAAAGTTTTTTAAAGTACGAGTCAGCAGACACACAGACACGCGACACCCACCGCGATCCTGTACATGTTGGTAAATCACATTTAGCGTGAATCGATCGACCTTCAGTGTTGATAGAGTGAGTGCACCTCCAGGGTAAGACAAGGGAGTCGTATATGATGACAGAGAGTGATGATGCGTATAAAACTATTCTGAGCAAGCATGAGACGGATATGTTTTATCCTCGCCTTTTCTCAAGAACCATGTTTAAAAAATTTCTAAACGCGCATTTACTAGTAAGTCACGATTTGTTGAGCTATTGCGCTGTTTTTTTATCATGTTCTGCAGAGCTCTCTCTCTTCAATGTATTACCTTGATAATGATGGGGAAGTCTGCTGCCGCAACTCATTCATGACTGGTGAAAATAACGCGATGTCCTAATTGTTTACACAAATCAGGTAACCTTTAAAATTAGCTATTCGCCTCTAGAAAAATCGACAGTGAATTCGGCGAATATATCTGTGGAAATATAGAATCATTACATCATACGCCGAATGAACAGATATTTTAATCGCGATTCATTTTCAACTGTTGCGACTCCACTGTACAGTGGCGAGATCTGCTCACCATCCCTTCCTGCATTTTGAAAGGCAAATTTTGCTGACACAAACGTTTTTAGCTTGACAGAGTATATTATCGACGATATCACCAATGTTCATTTTTGGCGTCACTATTCACGCCCCCTAGAGGCGGAGTGACCCCATACAACACGGAGGCGTTGTCGTCAACTTCCACGAACCAGTGATATACAGGAAATTAAGTTTAACACATATGAGTTGTCATATAAAAAAATTTATATAAAAAAACAGCAAAATCCAAACCAGTTATCATCTCGGATATTGACTTTTTCAATTATAGAAATACTAAGGTGGCTGGATTTGTCGAAATTACCATATTCATTAAGGTAGTGAGAAGGGTTTGGTGATGTTTTTGAAAAAAAAAACATTCTCTGTCTGTTGTCTGATGACAAGCTGTACGTCAATTTCTTCAAAATCTATGAATAAATTACTTCAGCGAGGAACGTTCTGCCAATGACGTTCATCGTGGTAGCAACCCACAATCATGGTGGTATATGCAAATGAGTTAAAACAAACAGTGTGCCGAATTCATATTGGAATTGTGCATGCGTTAATTAAAAAAAAACGTATATGTAAATTTGATCAAGAATCCGAGCAACTACTAGAAAATGCATATACGTTACCCGATTAGCCGATGGATATGAAGTGCGCTCCAGCCATATAGTAATTGAGAATCACGCGTCGATAATTTTTAGCCGACTTAAAATTCTGATCGTGTTCTTTCGAAAAGTGCTTTTCATCTAGAAAAAAAAACAGAACTGAAAATGACTGCGAGTATATGTGAAATGTGCTCTTAAGTGATACCTCAAAGTGGTGCGTCAAGCACACTTGCGATGAAAACTTGAAAGCTGAGTGATTTTCTTTTATTTTTTCAATTTCGTTTTTTTAATTCCTGAATTATACGTCAAACAATGAAGGGGTCGACGAGCACGTGGCGAATATTTTATGCGTTCGTTCGAATAAATACGAAAGTCGGGAGTTAATCGCAAATAAGTATACTGGCTCCATTAAAAACACATTGCTCTTGACTGTGTCAATGTTCAATTTCATTTAAATGGTTTATGGTATGCACCATGGCAACGCCATTGTTTATCATCATCATTATCATCACAAAACTAGACACCCTCTAGTGACGGGATCAACATCGGTGATGAGCGGAGTACGATGGGGGACCTTGCCTGACGTCTGTCAGTCCGTATCATCGTCGACCAATTCAATCAAACTGAACAAGAAATGTTGCCACTTTGAAATTGGTTACTTATCGGAGTCTCGTGTGCATCTCGAAGTATACAATCTGCGTGATTATTTAAACAACTTTACCATGTTGAATACGCCCATATTAATGATATTTCATTGACGCGCGTTACGCAAATATTGATGACTTTTTTTTCAACGATTATATCACAGACCATTGAAACAATTTAATATGTCCTTGCTCGGTTTCTTTCAACTCATAACACATTTATAAATTAACTTTGTGGTTACCTTAGCGTTACATATTTAATAGGGTGAAGGGTAAAATACAAATGCAAATAAATAGATAAAGAGGATTTCTAAATGAATATTTATTTTCATAAAACAAAGTAATAAGTCTCGAGACTGTCTCGCGGTATCATTAACGCAATTCGCAGCGCAGATCTCACCGAATGTACAGGTCACTCATCGCTCGTCGCACTTGGCGGAAATCAAGTCCAATGTCACGGTCCCCGGATTATATGTTTTGAATCGGTCGATCAGATGAATACTGTTGCCAAATATCTGGGCACTATATATTCGTCTGATAAAGTAAAGGTAAGGCGAGGAGAGCTGATGCGGCTGTATCATCGGGGATCGTTTTACAAGTAAGCTTGGTTAGACGCCATTTAAAGTACAGCTAATGGGTTACGGGTGTACTTACTAGAGAGAAGGTGAAATCATCCTTGCTATACGATTACACCATCGCCCTTGGTTTGGTACTAATATTTAGCAATTTTTCATTCGGCAATCGCGTCCATTGTTAACAACCAACATGTATTCATCA